TGATACCCCAAAACCCCAAAACCCCAAAACCCCGCATCAAGATTTACATTTGGAATTTAGTATATAATTACTTATGAATAAATCAATCAGTCGTTGAAAATATTATTAGATCCTCCACCAGAGACAGCATTCCTATCAGAACCACCTCTGAGGTTGGTGATATTAGCATTATCTAGATTGGTCTCTGTTAATGTACAAAATTATAAATTTGCTCTCTCAAGATTGGCTCCATAAAGGGAGGATTCATTGAAGTTTGAGTTTTCGAAGTCCCCTTCTCTCATATCTGCATTAGACATTCTTGCCTTGCAGAAATTGCAGTCCTTGGCAACTGTTTTATACATATCAACATGCATAAAGTTTGCACTTATAAATGTACTTTTGCTAAGATTCGCCTCTCTAAAATTGGCATTTTTGAAATTAGACTCATTAAAGTTGCAATTCTGCAAATTAGAATTAATTAAGCTCACTTCCTAGGCTTAACAGCCTTAGAAATCGCACCCTCTCAAGTTTGATCTGTCTAGATTCAAGTATCTTATTTAAATTGTGGAAAATTTAATCCCCGGTAATTATAAAGGTTTAGTCGAAAAGTTTATTAGTTCAAGAACTTTAGTGTAACTTATCTTTTTGCCTCCTCCTTATCTTTCTTAATCCAAACGATGAAGTAGATTTTCTATGTTGAAAAATTAGACTTCTTTATATAGCTCATCAAGAAGTTGTTGGTTTTCGAAAGGGATGTAAGTATTTCCGTCTCTTAAATAATTCAGAATGTATCTGAAATGAGTTCCATCCCGATCAATGAAGTATCTGCCATCTTCATCCTTAATTACATTATGCCTTCCAGAAAACATTGCAGCAAGCATCGAGTTAGGATCTGAGATAAGAGTTTCTAGAGAAGTTTCAAAGTGGACGCCACCAACACTGAGTCTGAGAATTTTAGGAAAAGTAGCTTTGTTCTCCATTAGAGTTTCAGAATAATATTTTTAAAATTAACATTTTTTGCCAAAAATTATCTCATTAATTCCATCCTTAATTTTTCCTATTATTAATTTATTTCTGCTAAATGGGGTTTTGGGGTTTTGGGGTTTTGGGGTTTTGGGG